AACAACAACCATGTATTAAGGAGTAATTTGAACCGACACTTCAGGAGCCCCCGTTCATGAGGCAGAATCCCATAACACTCCCGTGCCAACATCAGGTCGCCAATAGCTCAAAGCGGGCGCAACGTATTCAGCGGTTTGGACTTATGGTTTGAAGGTAAGAGGGCTGTTTCGCACTTATCCTCAACGGCATGGGATTCAAATTCCTAAACGGACCAAAGCCAGAGGTCAACAGGGAGGTGGTCAACTAAGTCACCAGTCAATACCTAAGACCTCACGGATTCGTGCAACAATTTTGGAGTTGGTGCTACAATAAATCAAATTCACAGCCACCTGTGGTGTTTCTGTGCTTCAGATGTACCATTTCCAGGTTGGCTTGACCGATCGAAACGAGCGAGTCATAATTGGAACCTGGTACTAAAGTGGTCTACTCAAACAATTGTTAAGAACAAAATGGGTGGAGATGTCCTGCTAGTTTCCCTGTAAAGTCACCTTATCCCGAATTGCCTTGACTTCTCAAAGACGATGGGACCGACCCAAACCAACAAATTCAGGTACCTGAAAATGGGTTCCCTCAACATGAATCTCATCTGGCAGTTTGTTATATATAACTCTCCGGGCAACCATGGCTAGGTCCTCCAGTAAAGAGGTTAGAATAAGGGTACCAGCTTCTTCTTTTTTTCTGTAGTCGATTTTAGTAGGGCAACCCTCCCAACCAAAAAACATGTGTGAGAAAGGGCACCTAGCTGATGCGGGATCTCTACCAAAGAAGCTCAGGACCATAGGTGTCCTTTAGGGTAAATAAATGGCCCTGGTAGATGATTAAACCACCAGGTACACTCAGGAATCGCCATCTTTTTTTCTACCAAAATAACCAAAACATATTTCCAGTAGTCATAGATTCCCTTTCAAACCCACGGGAGAAAGTAAATGATATTCTTAAGCAAATGGAAGCAAAAGAAGCTCAGGACATCGCACTCCCACCGTCGTGCTTTGCCCATCCCTGTCCGTGTAGGAGGTCAGAAAGCTGATGCCCTGGTTGGTCTGTTCAGACCACCCCCCGCCGAAGGTATAGAAGCCCCCCGTCTCCACCTGGCCGGTTACGGGAGCAACAAGCAGAGCCATGTTGCTATGGGTCAAAATTAGACCACCAGGGGCCCGCAGATTTTAGTCTTTGGTTCCATTACCAGGGTTCCATTTCGGGCCTTTTGGGTAACCATTTTTGACCCACACCCACGTGAGCAGAGTTTTTGTTGGGTACATAAAAGGGGAACTCCGCAGAACCTACGCGAGCTGCATTTTTGCAGGGTTTCAGCCTACGCGGAGGCAGTTCCTACGCAAAAAGTCCAGCCTACGCGGCTCGGGGCGCTACAAAAAAAAAACTCTGCTCACGTGTCTTTTCTGGATCAGGCTGAACGTACATGGCACAACTGAGATAACCGCCAAGATTTGGCTCAGGGTGAAACTAGATGACACAATTATCTTTACGTAGATAAACGCAAAACAAAATAGCTCAGGGTGAAAGTGGATGGCACAGTTCCCTTTATGTGGGTAAACGCAAGAAACACAGCCTAGTTGCCCACCAACACATTGTAACAGGCCCTTGTACCCTTGAAGACCAGGCCATTCATGCATCGAGAGCCTCTCCCGGCGACAGCACCGTGTCGCTACTGAGATCGCGAGAGATCTTGACCCAGCCAACCTGGAGCAGGACAAGGCGAAGGACCATTTAGAAAAAACACACCTACCATTTCGATGGTATTGCTGAGCCACAAAGATGAATGATCAATCCTGCTTTAACAATGAAGATATTTGCACACGTTGCTTAGTATGTTGTACAATGATGCAGCATTCCTCAGAAAAGGGAGCCATTGATATACTCGAAGGCAAACCCGACTGGGGGGTCCGCTCATGCACGCCCTCCTTCAAACACAGAACCCTCCACACCTGTACACCTGGTTGGATAAAGAGGCTTGTCTAGCTTGAACCGCTCACAGGAGTTGGTTTAAAGTGGCTCCAGCTGAAAGCCAAAATGGCAGATTCAGCATAGCAACGACCCCGAAAACTTTCTTCAACCGAATTCGACCTGCCGATTTGTCATTTGCGACGGGCCACAGCTAGCTGTGGCTTTTGTCAACGAACCCCTCCTTTAGCCACTGTTTCAAGGAGCAAGTCTCCGACCTTGCGATGGCGGAATTTGATTGCGGGAAGTCGAGCCTCTGCCCCATGGACCCGACAAAGAACCCGGTGCTTGCACCCATCACACCAAAAGGTACTCAGGGAGTGACAGTCCAAAACACCACATGGCTTCCCGAGAGAAGAAGGTTTTAAGGTTGGACTGGCGTTTCTTAAAGGGTTTCCACGAAAAAAGTTCACCCCAAAAGGGTACCCTCAACAAAAGACAGCCCATTTACCCACCAAAAAACCCTACACGCCCCTCTCCCTCTCGAACATGTTGAGCTTCAGTTCCAGAGAGCTGTCGCCAGGCGGCGTTCCGCGCCGCATTCATCACTTCGCCCGTCTGACTGTTGTCCAAGGGGGGGTTCTCACCTGCGACAGGCCGATAAATCATTCCAACAAAAGCAGGGTTGTGGGAAATGGAATCCACTTCTGTGATACAACAAGAAGGGCTTCCCAAAGACTAACACCCCATAAGGGGGAGATTCCCAAAAGTATCACAGAAGTGGGAATAAACCCCTTGATAGCTGGTTTCCACAGGTGAATGACCCTGGGTGTTGGAGTGAAGGAATGACTTGTCTTGGAGTGAACCTAAGGATTTCCTTAAAGGAAACCGAGAATCTATGGAGGTAGGCCTCAGGGCCTCTGGGCCCAGGCCGCATGCTTAGCAACTGGCTGGCAGAAGGCGCACCTATCCCTCAAGCTGTACCCCCCATCCTCCCGTCCATATTTTCTTAAGGATCCTAACAATAGAAACACCCTGAACATTGCAACTGCAACTTGTAAATGGTGGAAACCCACTTCTTTATGTTGGTGTTGAAAAAATACAACATGTACTAGTAACTCAAATGGTGACGCAACATGAATTTATTTTAAGGAGCCCTGATATTGGAATTACGTCCGATTTGTACAAGTGGAAGGTTCTTGATGGAGGCCATCATTCATGGTCACAACTAGGTGATCTATGATCTGGCATTGGGCTGCTTGTGCTACAATTCCTTAACCAAAGAGTGGTTCTTCTTGAAGCCGGGATCTATTCTCGGGCAACCGAGAAAGATTTGTCTGACAGGTTTCGTCGGAGGTAAACAGAAGCCCCGCTACTGAGTATCTCAACTCCCATACCTTGCTACTCATGTGAAGCCTGGACAAATCAACATGGCGAACATACTTACATACTACAATGGAACACGGCCTTATAAAGCTATCAGGAGTGGCAATCATGCACTGTACTAAATTTGGCCCACATCTGGAGTCGCAGGCAACTGATCCTGCTGTATATGTGGTCTACCCTGAAGTATCTGGCGTTGGAGGCCGTGAAGGGAAATCAACTTGGGCACCGGAGAGCATCGTAAGCGAGCTTGGCCAACTGAACCGACTTAGGAAAATACCACGTGCAGACGATTTCCGGTTGAAACATCAACCCAGCATAAGAACAAACTCGGAATTGGCGACCAAACAGACGAACAAAAAAAACAACTATTGGGAGCAACAACTATTGGGAGCCGCAACTATTGCCATGAATGGGTTTTGGAGCTATGGAGGTTATACCACTGCTATAAGGGGGTACCGCTTAGCTTCTAGGTGGTGGTATGTCCTGCGCATCACCTCTAACCTGAAAATGCCAACTCGAGGCTTCAAACGAGCGCCAGAGGGGTAGCTCCTGACCCCACGAAAACAACAAGTCTTTGCATGTAGGAAGTTGTGCATATATTCAGAAAAAAAAACTTGTAGCTGGAGGGATGGATGAAGGAAGAGGAAATCATTTGTACCCGCTGGAAAGAACTGGCCGCTGGAAGGGTTCAAGAGTCGAAGATGAAACGGGCCGACACACCGGCTATGAGCTTCAGTTTAGTTCATATCCACTTGTTTTAAGGGTGTTCCAAGCCAAAACACATTCACAGCATCCGCGCCTCGCGAATCAAATCCGGGCGAATCAAAAATCCAACGGCTCGTTTCGGGTTTCGGGCTCGGGGCCTGCGAAGAAGATGATAATTGACTCATTGCCGATCTCGTGAATGCCCGGATGCGCCAGCTCGGTATAGCAATAGTTGTCGTTGCTCCACTTGTAAAACCTGAGCTCGCAACATGTCAGCTTCGGTGGAACGAAATGGACATGTCAGGGGTTGACATCCTTTTAGCGGGGAACGCAAAACACATGGAGACAAAAAAACAACAAACAAACACAAAACACACACGCCACGAAACAGTTGGGTGTTAGAGACCTCGATGCTCTTTTTGGTCTTGGTTTCGATTGAAACCCGAAGGGAAGCACTCGTTTGCGTGGGTGCCCCTTTTGCAAACAAGTCTATATATATATATGTATTCATATTATTTATACTACGTATGTGTATAAATAAATAAATAAATAAATAAATACATAAATAAATAAATAAATAAATAAAAATAAATAAATAATATATATATATATATGCACGTATACATATAGTATATCAAACGAACTGCAATTGGGAGGGGACGCCGCGAGCCTCGCTTTCAGTTTGGCGTCCTTTCTGGAAACCATAGTTCTTCAGTTGTTGGAACACCCTCTGCCAAGGTGAAAGCTTCGGGGGTTTCAAACGAAGAAACAAACCATGGTTGCTGAGATCCGAGGGGTTTGAATACATCCCCAGTCCAAAGCACCCACAAACAAAGGCTAATCTTTTAGGGCCACGACTAGACATGGCTCAACAAAGAAAAAACAAAAGGTCAAAAAGGTGGCTTTGGCTTTGGGCAAGTGAGAGTCTCCGATTTCATGGGTTCAATATTCGGCCTTACCAAACCAAACGCAGGGAGTCTCCCTTTTCGACCATGGCTCCGGACAGGCGTCTGTCGGAGTTCGAAGCTGTCGGACTCTCAATTGGACCTGTTCGATCCTCTCGCATGCTACATGTCCTGAGCTTGGAAGCCTTTGTTAGACCCGTTCAGGGTTTTGTTGTGGTCCCCTGATTCAAGCAGTCTTGACGCTCATCAGTTTGACCACTTGGATTCGGAAGGAAACAACCCATCCTGGCCCTACACATGGATCATGATGCCCAGCTGGTTGGCTGCAAGTTCTATAGGACGGTAACAACGGAAGTCAACTGGTGTTCGCAATGGCTGTCTGAGACCATTTCCCACGTGAAAATTGATTTGCTCGGCTCCCGCGTTGGTTGGTGGGATGGCGGAATAAGATTTCTATCTCCATACCGAACGAGCAACAATCGACTTAAATGAATCCAAGGAACTTCTTCTCACTGGTTGATATCTCCGTGTACTCATCGTAGGCCGTGCCAGCGGGACTGGTAGGGTTGGTGCCGTGCCTTGTCTTGAACTTGTACACCAGCTTTGACTTCTTCTGCTTCTCAGCTGCCTTCAGCTCCTTATGGGCGGGGAACACAGGGCGAGTTGCAAACAATTCCTAACACAAACTCCAACACACAAGGAACAAACGCACACACACACACACAAACGTGCCTTCCTGCTCCCACACCCGCTCTCTCGCTCGAACGCGCACACATATATATATATATATATACACACAACGCCACAATCACAGTGTGACACACACTTGTGGTATTTCCCAGATTGAAAGTCTGAGTGGTCCAATATTGCGTTGGTCTTTCCATTTTGCACTGAGTCTGCAAACGCACGCAGTCCAACACAAAACGAGGGGGGCCGAATCCAAATTTACAGGCAAGCTATGCTCTTGCAGTGGTGTCCTTGCCATGTTTAAACTGGTTTAGTGTGGAGCTGTAAAGTCTGGGAAAATCATTTGCGAGTAGGGAACATGTTATTCAAAGAGGGCAGGGCTAGGTTATTACACCCCTGGCACTGGCTCAAAAAACCTTGGCCAACCGCTGGCAGGTAAGCGCCCGTGCCGGTTACAAAGTGCTTTGAGGGTACCCTGAATAGCACAATCTCCCCCTCCCCCTCCCCCCCAAACAACCTCCCCCCCCCCAAATAGTACTCCCCCAATAATCATACTGTGGATGGACGAAATCCATTTCGCACTAATTTGAAATTATGGGAAGCCATTGTTTGTTGCTAGATTCAGGGGAATCATTTTTTCCAGGGTTTCTGAACGGTGGTGCGTTGGATGGATTTCGCAACCATCCACTGGTGGACATACCGCAGCAACCTTTTCGGCGTGAGCTTCCCAGAGGTTCACGCCGCGTGGGTAGTTGTCCCCCAAGTCCATGCCGATGTAGAAGCCAGCCTGCCGAGGGCGGCTGGAGGCTGTGATCCGCCTTCAGGGTTCCCTAGGTGTCCTTTTAAGGGAAATAGATGGGCTTCCCTGGTAGGTGATTAAACCACCAGGTCAACCAGGGAAACCCATCTATTGTTCTACCAAAACAACCAAAAAAAAAACCAATGGTTCCTTCTCTTTCCCGTTTTGGAACCAATATGTAGCAGCTTTCCCTAGTTGGCGGCGTCTAAACCTTACCTTTTGGACCAATATGTGGGTGGGGGTCAACAATAGGTACCCACAATGGCCCTGGTAAGTGGAAACATGGGCCAAAACCTGCGGTCCCCTGGTGGCTGAGTTTTTGACCCATACACATGTAGCTGAGCTTCCTCTGGGCAGCCCCGTTGAACAATGGTGCTAACTTCGGATTGGGCCTGAAGACCAAAGTCTAGGTCCTTCAGTAGAGAGGTTAGAAGGGCACCCTTTTTTCTGTAGTCTATTTTAGTGGGGGAACCCTCCCCAAAAAAGGGTAAAGGGCACTACTGGGGGACCTAGTAGTGATCAAAGGAGTGCCCTGAAATGAATTTGTTCAGCCCGAATCAGCATGCTCCTGACTAATCCACTGGCATTAACTCGCTGTTTAAGCATACATTCAAGAAATTGTCCCTGGAAAGAGCGCTAGGATTCAGTTGGCTTAAGAGTTTGAATTGGTTGGATTTTGCGGCTGCCTAAAGGAATCCGTTTTGGAGAATATTACAACCAGCAGAGCTCATAGCCAGTTGCTGGAAGCAATCTAGCAACCAACCCTGCCGACTTTCACAAAACCAATGGAAACTGGTCTGCATGTGGGTAGCGCAAAATCCTCGAAAGGATTTGATGTGTTGAGAGTCCCCCCAAAGCTAGAAGCATATGTGGGTCAAAATTAAGCCACCAAGGGACCGCAGGTTTTGGTCCATGTTTCCACTTGCCAGGGTTCCATTGTGGGTACCTATTTTTTGACCCACACCCATATCCCAAAAACAGCTGCTCTGAAATCACTTCACAGGACATCGATTTGAACGCCTTGTCAAGCAGCAACCTCCAAAGTCGAATCAGTCTTGAGCCTGCTTCGAATCTGAATTTGGAGA